AAGGAGGGGTTTGGAAAAAGGGTGCCAGGCCGAAAACGGGATGCAGCCGAAACAGCAAAAGATAGACCAGGGATCGAGCCCTGGCGAAGTCTGTAACACTACCAGCCTACTAATTGACAATGCAACTGTTGACGTCAACGGCCCACAAAGTACTTGAAGATGTCACCCTTAGCAGACCATCGCCAATACCAGGTATGTGCCCTCACATCATCATCGTCATTATCCTTTTCTCTCTCCCCTGACTTACACCCTCGTTTTCCTTCTGTACACCCGAAGACCACCCCTGCGCCTCACTGTACAACCAAGCCCTCAGCCAGCTATGGAGGCTGGGCTATGGTGATGCCCGCAGCAGCGCCCTGCTTCCACACACGACCGCACATGCGCAGCACCTTGCTCCAACGCTAGCAGCCAGCACGCGAGCAAAAGCTCCAGCAGCGCTGCTGCCAGCCAGCAAGTGCTTGAATGCCCGGCCAGGCAGCGAGCTCTTTCCTATATGGAAAGAGCCTGCCTCTCTCGGCGGCCTGGCTGGCCTGGGCCTCTGCCCAGAAGCTTCCGGTAGGCCCCGGGAGGCTGTGCCTCCGATGCTGCTGCTGGGCCTCCGTTCGGTTGGGCCTCCCAACTGCCTATGTATGCGGCTGCGATTCTTGCCCAGGGCCTGCATTTTTGGAAAAGCCTGGAAGGCCGTGGAATGTCTTGCTGCTCGGCCTGTGTTTCCCTCAACCAACTGGCGCGTCGAAACTGCCTGGACCCCAAATACGAAATTGACAGCTGAGGGCCTCTCGTGATTTGTTAGGCCCGCCTTCACTTAGGGCGGGCACATCTGAAACAGGGGCCCCTTAGGCCTGCCGAGGACCCAGATCCTCACATCTGTCTGTATGCCACAGGCAGACCTCACAGTCACAGGTCCACGTATCGGGGGGGGGGGGGGGGGGGGGGGGGGGGGGGGCGCAGGGTGCAGCCCTCGCCACACTTCCTGTCTTTTTGTACCTGACATTTCCTCCACGTTGCCTCAGCCAGAGTTTACAGGTCCACATGGCAGGGCAAGCCCCCCCCTCACAGTGCATGAAAAAATGCTATAGAAAATATTGGACATTTTGTCACGTGACAATATTTCAGCTCTTTCTCAAGTTTTTCTCTCATTTAATATACAGATAGCATTTCTTATATGCTGAATGGCTTGCGACAGTGCAACTCGTCGCTGTATTTCTAAATTCTGTATCACTAGGATTTGCTACTATTGCGTACATTAATTACAATCCCAATTGGTCCTCTTGTGACATTTGTACAGGCTTCTGCCCGCACGGGGAATGCTAGTCTGTTCTAAACGACCAGTACGCGCAGGGCGTTTCAAGCCCTGGGAAAAAATGGCTTGGAAGTACTGGTGCTTCAAGCCTTCAACTAGACTCTTTTTTTTTTTTTCCCTTTCTCCCGACAAACTTACTGTCATTAGCCAGCAAAAGTTACAGTTGTGTAAGAGACATTTTGCATCACGAATACTTCACAGACATAAAGCCGTCAATGGTGAATGTCACCTGTATTGCCTTGTCTTCCAATATGGTGTGTATGTTGTTATGTTAGAGCTTCACAACTTGACAAAGAAACGTGACTGTGCCAGACTGTTTTGCCGGATGTTCACTGAGTCATCAGGAGTGTATTTGTGTGTGTGTGTGCGAGGCATAGGGCCTCGATATGCCCTACAGGGCCCAATTTTCACACAGTTGGCCGCCCTAAGTGAAGGCAGGCACGACCGAGGCCCTACGGGCCATTTCAGGGTCACCGCTCAACTGGGGAAATTCAGGCAGTTGCACAGCGCCAGTCGGTTAAAAGCACCCAGGCCCAGGCTGCCTTTCATTGCATGTAACTGAGGCAGGCCCTGGGTCGGATACACAAAGTGGACCGAACAGAGGCTGAGGGCAGTTGGGTGCTGATAACCACCACAGGCCCTGGGCCTGTTTACCTCGGACTGAGGCTCAGCCTCGTGGGGCCTACTGGAAGCTTCTGGGCCAGGGCTCAGTACCGCATTACCACACGCAGCAGCAGGCCACTTCCATATAGAGAAGGGCCTGCCTACGCATTGGGCATTCGGGGACTGGCTGGATGCTGCGCAAGCGCTGCTACGCTAACGCTGGCCAGCGCTCACGCGCTCACGGGCGAGCTGGAACGAGCAGGCAGCCATAGCCGAGCTGTGCTGCTGTATGCTGGATGGGGCGCATGGTGGTCCTTGGGTGCATGTGGCATCTGTGAGTTGGGGAACGGGGTTGTGAGTGATACGAGAGACATACCTGGTGCTTGACGCGTGCGGCATTGGCCGAGATCTGCTCGTACTTGGGAAGCTGTTGACGTCATCAGCGGCATTGTAGTCTAGGCTAGATAGGATCTGCCATTCGTAGTCTGGGCGCTGAGCACCAGATAGGCTATCAACATTGGTTCTTCCTTGATGATGATGAGACTATTCCAGCATTGTCAATTATGAGCTTTTAGTGTGTTCTTATTTGGTGAAACTCGTGATGCAATTCTGCTTCTGGTTCGAGGTCACGACTATCTGGTCTCATATGTATGATGCTGTTTGATTGCTGAAGTTCGCTATTGCTCATCGTCCTTGCATGTGTGTGTGTGTGTGTGGGTTGTAGACTGCCACCAGAACCCCTTTTCCACCGAGATGCGTAGATCTACTGTTGAAACTGCGTTACCTATAATCTCATATCATGAGTCATATGTGATTTAAAAGAGAATGGTTGTAAACTTGTAATGTTTCAAGAAAATGGCCATTTCATTGTTGTTTGAATTGTGAAAGGCCCACTGCAGCTGTGTACTAAAGCTCGTGATGCGTATAGACTGTATAGTGTCTACTACAGACTCATTTGCCTTTCAGCACATCTCCACGTATGTTTTGTCCGTTCTGTCAGTGATGCTCAGCCGTATACATGTTTTCAGTAGTTCTACGCTGGGCGAGGAACAAATGAAATGGGAGGGAAGGATAGGGGAAGAGAATGAGGGGAGTGGAGTGAGGAGAAGAGCCAGGGAAAGAGGAGTGTGTGTGTGTGTGTGTGTGTGTGTGTGTGTGTGTGTGTGTGTGTGTGTGTGTCTGTGTGTGTGTCTGTGTGTGTTTGTGTGTGTGTGTGCGCGCGTGTGTGTGTGTGCGCGCGCTCGTGTGTGTGTGTGTGTGTGTGTGTGTGTGTGCTTTGGGGAGAGGGAAGGGGTGGGACGTTGTGAGTCCTGTGACTGGAGTAGCAACGTTTCTTGAAGTGTGGCCTGGCGTTTGTGACTGGCTTCTATCATGGGGAGCATCAATCGAGCTCCGCTTCCACTTGCAAGGCATTGATACAAAGCTTAGATAAAAGAGCCAAAGATCATTGATTGCATCTTTGCAGAGAAAGATTAACTGTTTCAGAGATATGTCGGTATCCCAGTGAACTTAGACAGGGAGAGAAGTAACACTATCTATGCTGCCTCTTGACTGGGGGTCCGACAGCTGCGGAGTACACTATGCATTCTGTTTCTCTGACAGAGCTTTGCTTGACCTTTTTATGCCATTGATGTTTCATCTGAGGTAGATTTATGGGGAATAAGGAGCCGCTTTTGTGTCTTTGCTCAACCTACAAATTTAATGAGGAGATCTTTCTGTTTCTTGGTTGTCATGTTTTCACCGCAGATTGAACGTATCCCTGAGCGTTTTGTGAACTTTGATACGTACCAGAGGAGCTTTGTTGTACCTTTGTTGGAGGAAGTACGGGCAAAGATGATGGTAGAACTTTCAAGAGTGCGCGATGCTGCCCGAATGCCAATCGTCATTGCCTCTTATGACGGAAAGGCATCATCGCCATTCTTTGAGGTGGAATTTGACGAGGATCAATTCCGAAGTGTAGAATCACAACAGAAGACCAGGTTCAAGCCAACTGATCTGATTCTGTTGTCAAGTGTCAATGTTACAGAAGTCAGAGAGCTCGATTCGATCTGTGAGAACGGAAGCAGCCTTTTTGCTGCATTCGCAGTATTGTACAGGTGTCCCAGCAAGGAAGACCCAAGCAGACCCTATGCAGTTTTCACACGACGCGATCCGTCAGGAGCGCTGTGTGGACACGAGTGTGGGATGAAGAGGCAAGGTGACGAGTGGTGGGCTATAAGTCTTGACTGCATAGCCACGGCTGTGAGAGCTTTTAATGCGTTGACCAAGGGTGTTGCTCCAGCCAAGGCGTTGGTTGATGTCCTGCTCTCCTCCAGAGGGCTGCGGATGGATTCTATGGTCCCTGAGGAAGAAGGAGGGAGTGGTGGTTCAGTTGCGTCGTGGTACACAGAGTCGCATTCGAGATTCTTGTCGTCATTAGCAGGATGTTCTTCTACGGCGCCCGTGCCTGCAATCACTGACTGTTGGTACTCTGCAGTTGAAAGGAAGGAGATTCAGCAAGTTAATGAATTATGCGTTCACCAGCACCTCAATCAATCACAGACATCTGCGGTTATGGAGGTTGTCAGAAATCATATTCTCTCTCAACGCCGTCAATCTTCTTGGAGAAGCCGTCCAGTCACACTCATTCAGGGTAAACAAAGCCATTCTGCATAAAATATTAAAAATTGATAAAATGTCAAAATCTGGATGTTGCCATCATCTTCTTCCACCATCATCTTGTGCGACTTCAACATTTCCCTATCCTTGATGTCAAAGCCATATGTTCTTGACGTCTGTGCGCATGTTCTTTTTGTGTTTGCTCGTCTGGGAATGCGCACGAAGGGTGAAAAGGGGATGAGTGGGACGAAGGGGAGTGTGTAGGATTGACAGGCCGACTGGGAAAGGGAGGGATTTTCCTGTGTTGGAGGAAGGGGAAGGGTCAGGTGAGTATGGCAAGAGATTTCTGTGTGTGTGTGTGTGTGTGTGTGTGTGTGTGTGTGTGTGTGTGTGTGTGTGTGTGTGTGTGTGTGTGTGTG